TGACCGTGGTGGAGTTCCTCTATAGACTAACGTGAAGTCACGTGACCACGGTGGAGTTCCTCTATAGACTAACGTTAGCTTCTTACTTTACACTTCAAACATAGAAGTGGAGTTCATTAGTGAAGATTATCTTGATTAACAAAACCTGGAAGAATCATAAATGTTTGTTTATTTTCTGCAATAATCAAAAAGTGAATGGAAGAATCTCATTGACTTTTTGTGGAGGGAATCAGAGATGCTAACTTCCTGTTGAACTACAAAACGAGGTCATCCCTGCTGCTCTTTATTACGCCTCAACAATCACTCATGACAGTAATTTTACGACTGTTTCTGCACCAAACACGAGTCATATAATCATTGTATCGTCACCCATAGTGGAGCAAAGTCACCTTTAATGTACAAGCTGTTCACTGTGGGCCAACATCCATCTCTCTCACACAATGCATATGTATGCCAACACAGAGGAGGAGAGTCAATAGAGAACCTTCTTCTCTTTATGAGCGTCAGTCAGTAAGAGAAACAGATCTCACTCAGACATACAGCAGCTAGTTATATCTCTATTCAAGATAAAAAAGATTTAACACATCCCAATATCATAGTATGTCCAATGCAGAATGCTTTTCTGACCCACAATCCTCTGCACAGCAGAAGACAGAGACAGATGCGACGGATATCTTAGCAAGAGGGTCAGAGGTCAATGCTCAACATTATGAAGTAGTACGTCCGAACTGTGTGCATAGTATATGCAACAGTACATACTTTGTGAGGGCAGTTTACCTCAGTGTACTTAAGATGGTGATGACTCTAAATCTGTGACCACAGAGCAACATTCAGCTTCAGCCATGAAGTCGTCTTCAGTGTAAATCTTCAGTCAGATGCTCCTCGGTCATCAGAGCTCTTTGTCTTAACCACTTCCTCTACAGTCTCAAGACCTGAGTGAGGCCTTTCACCTGCCTCACATCAGTCTTCTTTCCCTACATGGCCAGCTGCAGCCCTCCGTCCACCACCAGCACCTGTCCTGTAACGTAGGGGGACTCCAACAGGAAGAGAGCAGCCTGGGCCACCTCCTCCGGCTCACCCAACCTCCCCAGCGGGACGGAGCGCACCCCCACCGCATCCTCCTCCTTCAGCCCGGCGGTCATGTCGGTGCGGATGAAACCTGGAAGTGTGAGAGAGGGCAGATAAGAGGAAAGGAGAGGAGATAAGAGGAAAGATGAAGGACGAACTTGTACCTGGAGCCAGCAGGTTAACTCTGACGTTACGTGAAGCGACTTCTTTCGCCAGAGAGAGCGTGAAGCCCTGGAGGCCGGCTTTACTGGCGCTGTAGACACACTGGCCAGCGTTCCCTCTCAGGCCCACAACAGAGCCTGCAAACAGCAAACACACAACCGTTATGTGCTGTTTACAAGCTGTAAAAATCCCTCATAATAGTAATTTTCACCTTTCTGACGGTCCTTGAACACATCACATGTGACGAACGCTTCCCTCAGAAAAAGCAGCCAAAACAAGCTTAAAATTGTGATATTTTATCAAAAATATTTTATTCTAAAGGTCTCATTTTAAATCTCTCCTCTAATAAAGCGTTCACTTTAAACAGATTGTGTAAAAACATTAAATTGTGAGCTCCTCAGTGAAACTATGAAGTCATGATTGATTCATCCGAGACCAACAGTCATGTGACAACAAACCAGAGAAACTCTGACTGAACTTCAGGAAGTGAACAGAGAGAGGAGAGGAGAGTTGGACAGAGGAGGAGAGAGGCTGAAACATGTCAATAGTTTAATGTATAAAACACGTGGAGCCTCCCCCCCCAACATTATTAATACTTGTGGACACTGTGGAACAATGTTGTTTAATAGATTCCATTGTTGGACAATTTTTGTAAAAGAAATTATGAAAGAAATTCAACTTGTTTTTTATATTTTTTATGATTTATGTCATTCTGTGTTCTTCTGCACAAAAGACACTTAAGTGCTCTCTATTAAAATAATTTTCCTAAATTCCAGTCAGCCACTGGTTTTATTAATCTCAGCATAGTAAGAAAATAAATGTAGTAAAACATGCAAAAGCAGAAAGTAACAGTTTGGGTCTTTACTCCAAAACGTGGGTGACTCTAAAGAGAGCAGAGAAGAAGTACACTGCCATCTGGTGCCCACATGATGCTCGTCATGGAGGCTTCAGAGTTATCAGTAGTACCTATGTTAACGATGGCGGCTCCCTGAGTGCGCAGCATGCTGCGTAGCGCCGCCCTGCAGGTCAGCATGCTGCCCAGCAGGTTGGTGTGAAGCACGGCCAACATGTCCTCCGGTTTGGTCCTCAGCAGCAGAGCGTCCCTGAACACACACACACAGGTAATAAATGTCAGTCTGTGACATTATATATGTCCATTTAACAGTGCAACCGATGTAAAAAGTTAGTCTGGAGCCTTGTTTCACATGTAACCCGAGTAAAAGTCGTTTCTTATTCTGCCTGATGAATGTGTCCATTTTTAAAGCATTGTATTTATTCATTTCAGTGGGCCATCACAACAACAGCAGGCTTAATAATGTGTTATTTCTACTACAGAAGACACTTAATTGAGTTGAAAGCGTCACATTGGCAATAATGTCTCCCTCACAGCAGGAGGTGATCAGAGCAGTGAGGTGGAGCAGCTGCTCACCTGTTGATGCCGGCAGCGTTCACCAGATAAGAGACGTCTCCACACGTCTTCTGGATCGTCTCAAAGCTTTTCTTCACCTCCAGCTCGTTGGAGACGTCACAGCTGAGAGACACGTGGTCGACTGGAGAGAAGAAACAGAAGCTCTGTGAGAACGTTAACAAGACTGCTGTATATACATGACACGCACGCACGCACGCACACACACACGCACACACACACACACACACACACACAGAGAGATAGACATACATATATACATACATATACACATATGTATATATACATACATACATATACACACACACATATACACACACACAGAGAGAGAGATAGACATACATACATACATACATATACACATATGTATATACACACACACACACATATGTATATACACACACACACACA